ATAGGGAACCCAAGGTTGAGTAAGGATATTGTTGATGTGTTGTGAGATTGTTAACCATTGTCATAGGGCAACATTTGTAGTACCCATTAAATGAGAAACTACTTTGTTCTGTAAGCCTTTATCTTAAGTGAGAATAACAGCACAATTGGAAGAGCGTAGTCAATGTCACTGAACTGTGCATGCAGAAATTTTTGAAATGGTGTATCTTTGGCTATGTTTCATCAAAAAAAAAAAAAGAGGTTGAGAAGTTAGAGGGTTGATATGTTGTGGGGTTGTTAACCAATGTCATAAAATAACACGTGTACTCTGTTTCATGAGAAACTATTTGTTCTGTAAGCCTTCACCAGAAGTACAAGAAAAAAAATAAATCAATAAAAGAAAAAGAAAAAAAAATTATATTCTATATCTTTTTTTTTCAAAGAAAAGATATAGGACATAACAAATAATTAAGGTTTTAGGTAAATACCGCTCATAATCCCACTCAAACTATGAAAACTACCCAAACTACCATTATTACTTAGATGTATTTCCTTTGAACTATAATCACTTTTACAGAGTAATCATAGCATACATACAATTTTGAATTCTGCTCTTTCACTTTTAAGTGTTTTCCTATGTTGCTACCTGATCTTCACAATCATAATTTTATTCAATACAACACTCATTTACTGAAGCCCCGGCAGATCACTAGATATGAGACCTGGAGATAAGAGATACAGGTGGTTCCTGGCCTCAAAAAGCTCAAAGTTAAGCTGAAGAGAGAGACAGACAATTATGGATATTTACAGGAAGCCCTGGTTATTCAAAGATATGTGTTATCAGAGGGGGGGAGAAAAACTTCTTAAAGAATGTCTCTTTAAGATGCAAATAAAATTTTTCAAAGTAAACAGCAAAAGACTGGCTTAATTTACACCTCATTCTGAACTATTAAGGCAAAGATGATTAAGATATTTATTTGGTTTTGTAAAATTTAGGATATAATTACAACTATGCAAATTCTTTACCAAATCAAAAGTGTGTAAAGGGTTGATGAGACCTTTGGCGACATAATTTTTCTAACTAAACTGTGTAACAGAAAAAAATAACATCCTTCACTCCTTATTTTACTTTTGCAGCATGATCATAAAGAAACACTTTTTTCAATGGAAAGCAGGAACACAGACTTGTACACCAATGTTCACTGCAGCACTATTCATAATAGCCAAAAGGTAGATACAGCCTAAATGTCCATTAACAGATGAATGGATAAATAAAATGTGATACATACATATCCTCAAAGATTGAGAAAGGAAGCACTGATACATGCTACAACATGGATAAACCTTGAAAACATTATGCTGAGTAAAATAAGTCTGTCACAAAAGGACAAATATTGAACGATCCTGCATACATGAAATATCTAGAATAGGCAAATGTATAAACACCAAAGTTTATTCGTGGTTACCAGAGGCAGGTGGAAAGGAGGGAAAAGGGGGGACTCACTTGTTAGGGAACAGTGAGTTTCTGTTAAGGGTGATAGTAAAATTTGGAAACAAATAATGGTAACAGCTAAACAGGATAAACCTAACTAATGTCACTGAACTGTAGATGTGAAGAATGTTGAAAAGGCAAATGATTTATTACATATGTATTTATCATAATAAAATATGTATATTTAAAAAAATGAATTTTTGCAAAAGTATTTGAGAGCATCATCAATTTCCCAAAGGTCTCTGCTTAATCTTTTCACATTCAAATCATTCTCTTTAAACAGCCTCACCAATTTTCTATAGATTTCCATTTCTGCCAGATCTACCTTTAACAATAACTGGAGCACTTACTCAACATCACTTTTGTTGACTACAGGAAACCCTGCATCTATGCAAATCTGCAATTTCACTTTGCAAATGATTCCCAATGTATTTGTACTGTTGTGATTTTAGACAATTTACCACATTTCTCTCTCTCTCTGCTCTATTATTTCCCTTATCTGTAAAATTATGACAATAACAGTACTGTTGAGGTTTAAATTAGTTAATTCATATGTGAAGCACTTTCCAGTGCCTGACAATCAATAAATGTTGGTTGTTATTATTATTATATGGTGTCATGGATTGAACTGTGTCCCCCCAAAATATCTGTTAACTTGGCTAGGTCATAATTCCCAGTATTGTATGGGAATCATCTGATGTGATTTCCCTATGTGTTGTAAATTCTATCACTATGATGTAATAAGATGGATTAGCGGCAGTTATACTGATGAGATCTACAAGATTAGATAGTGTCTTAAGCCAATCTCTTTTGAGATATAAAAGAGAGAAGTGAGCAAAGACACATGGGAACCTCATACCACCAAGAAAGCAGTGCCAGGAACAGAGTGTGTCCTTTGGACCTGAGGTTCCTGCACTGAGATGCTCCCAGACCAAGGGAAGATTGATGACAAGGACCTTCCTCCAGAGCCGACAGAGAAAGAAAGCCTTCCTCTGGAGCTGGCCCCCTGAGTTCAGACTTGTAGCCTACTGGATTCTCTTTGTTAAAGCCATCCACTTGTGGTATTTCTGTTATAGCAGCACCAGATGACTAAGACATATGGTCAGACATCTTGTTCAAAAAACAAGAGATTAAGAAAGTCGTGGTTGCTATGAGAGAGAAAGGATGCAAGGGACACACGGGAAAGGGTGTTTGTGCAGAAACTGAACGACTAAGTGGTCAGTTCATTAATGGTTTTCAGACGACTTTTACAGCCCTACCTAACCTCATGAATCTAGGGGTTCAGATAACAAGGACTTCATCCCCACCACTGGTTCAATACAGTGTAACAAGTACTACCATATGGCTATATACAATATCTTACAGAGATTCAGAAGGGGCAAAAAACTCCCAATTGGGGAAGGGGTGAAATCAAGGCAGGCTTGTCAAGAGACAGAGTTTTTAAATCTGAGTAACAAATTTGATGAACAAAGTAAGGGGGTAAAAGAGTTATCTCAAAGAGACGCAACATGATGTGCAGTGACAGTGGCAAAAAGTAAGGGGGCTCGGGGCTATAGTGCATAGAATCTGGACAGATGAGCAGACACCAGATTATAAAGGACACTATAGACCATCCTCAGAAAAACAGAGCACCTATGAGGACTCTGTATGACAACAGTATTATCAAAACTGATTGCTTCATGAAACGTTCCATGAGGTATGTCTATCTTGCTCACTACTCTCTCCTCAGTCTTTCTTCTGTACTTCATTCTGATGAATAATATGCCGTAAGTACCTAATGTTATTTTTTCCTAAAAACTACTAATTAGAGACAATGTCAGGGGTTGGATCTAAAGAAAAGGCAATTTCAACATTTGCTGAGTCTTCCTTCTCTTCTTCAATGACTCGGGATGTTTGCTTTACCATGTACCATTTATACTTTCATCTTAAGCAGGCTAATCAGAACTGTATTCCAAAAAGAATGAATTCTACTGTATGTAAATTTTTTAAAAACTGAGTAAAAAGGACTATTCTGTTCCACGGACTACACATCTAACTTTGAATCCATTACACCACTTTTTTTTTTTCTTTCATTTTTTAATAATATTTTATTGTGAAAGCATATATGGCAAAACAGGTTCATAGATCATTTTTATAAAAGCCTTTTTTAAATTCTAAGTTTTGAAATAAATTATGAAGCCTAAAATCCCTAATGATTTATGATTATTTCACACTATTTAAAAGAATATCAGGTTTATAGACTAATTTAATAATTTTCTAAGCTAGACCATATATTTTATGGATATGTATATCTATATCCAGTATCATCAAATCCATCCCGACTCACGGCCACCACATGCATGTCAGAGTAAAACTGTTCCATAGGGTTTTCATGGCTGTGACCTTTCAGAAGCAGACTGGCATGCCTTTCTTCCACGTTACACTGCATTTTAAGTACTGTAACTTTGTAGTACATTTTTGTGCAGTCATTACACACTATTCAGAAATATTTAAAAACAGAATAGATAAATCATCAATTTAAGATTATCCTGACTACAGGGAGGAGGAAAAATTAGATGTCTGCATTCTTTTAGAGGCACTCTGGAGAAGAGAAAAGAAGAAAACCTAAGAGCATAAACCAAATCCTTAGACAACATAACTAAGGAAAAAATGCAGTACTTACAATCAATTAAAAAAAAGAGTGAAGTTAAACTGAAATCACTGCTACTTACCTGTTTCTCTCCATATATCAATAAGCACATGGACAGCAAGGAGACAGTAATAGTCTGAAAACTGCAATTCCGTTTTCAAACAGGATTTCCCTACAGGAGAAAAAAAATCATATCCATATTTTAACATTTGTTTAACTATTACTGCCCCGAAGGAGTCTTTTAAGGCAAGAATGGGACAGGAGAGAGAAGAGAAAAAAGAAAAAAATAAGAAGAATGGGGTAAGTACCTGAATAAAAATATAAGCTATAAATCAAAGGGTTCAAAACAAGATGATACCACACTCAGCTGGAGACAGAATGAAGGTTCCAGAACAGAGATGGTATGAGCAAGGTCCCAAAACAGAAAGCAGTAAGATTTAGAAGGAATTAGTTGAAGAAAAGAAAATAAGTCAAGGGCCACATATAACTAAATTAACATTACACTCCTTACTTTATCTAAAATTTTAGAATAGAGTTAGAGAAATACTGACATCTTCTATTGAGATAATTTATATTTCTATCACATACATGTGGCAAAGTCCAGGTCAATCTGAAGGTCTTCTGCTTCTAAACTAACCAGTCATATCACAATTTACAATATTCCATTTGTTCACTTACAAATTCTATATTATTAAGGCCTACAAGGAGAAAATCTGACAAATATTATCATAAACCCTATGTACTTCACGAGCCCCAATGTAATAAGAGTTAAGCTCACCAAATTAGGAAAAATATGGCCAACTGGAAACCAATTATAATTATTTAAAACTCCAAGCTTAAGAAAGGCTTTACATCATATTACTTGGATGGTCTTCCCACTTGACTAAATATTCTCCTTGCCAAACTCACTGAAACAAAGTGTTGTAAGTGTGCTTAAAAAATGGACTTCCAAGTTTTAGCAGATCAGGGAAGCAGGGAACTAGTGCACTTCTTGAAAGATTGCTCACCAAATTCTAGTCCATGCTGGTACCTTAGCATCAATTCTCTGACTACATTCAATTTCTGACTTTTGTCCATGGTGTGGTATAAGCCAAGTAACCTCGTCAGCTGCACCACACACAAATGCTGCTGCAGAGCTTTGATGTCAGCAGGCAGTGCCAGCTTATCCTCTGTTGGTGTCGACAAAGGAACAACTCCGAGTAACTGATTGATGAACTGCAAAGTGAAAACAAAAGAGCACAGGTTTCAAAACACAACTAGTCTTCAACGGCCATAATTAACAGAAATTGAAGTGTTCCAGAAAAAGACATCGAGAAGGAAATATAAATCTCATTCATTGCTGGAGAAAATTTAAGATGTTCAAAGTACAGTTATTTATTGTATTATTCATTAGCATATACTTTGCTGAATATATTTGAATCTATCATGTGTTACTGAATCAGTAGTGTCAATGTGGAACTTCATGTACTTTTGTGGACTTAAACATAGTCACTTCAACTCCTGGCTGATCCTAATCCTATGAAAACATTTTACCAAAATCTAAAAAAGAAAAAAGAAAAACAAATTAAAATCCCTGTAGTATGCCATGTTCTAGCTACCAAAACTGCAAAAACAAAAAAATCAGTGACAGCACACAATGCTGGTGAAGCTCCAGTGACTCATTCATTGCTGGTCAAAAGTGTTCTGTCACAGTCATCTACAACGGGTACTAAAAGATTAGAAAAACTATGGAGATGTTTCAGAAACTACAGCATATTAATATAATGTAGCAATTTAAAAGTATAATTATGCCCCAAAAAACTGAAAACAGAGACTCAAACAGATACTTGTACACCGATGTTCACAGCACTATTATTCACAATAGCCAAATGGTGGAAACAACCCGAGTGTCCATCAACTGATGAATGGATAAAAAAAAGTGCATATACACATAATAAAATATTATGCAACCATAAAGAGAAATGAAGTTCTGATGCACACTACAATATGAATGAACCTTAAAAACTTTATGTTGAGTGAAATAAGCCAAACACAAAAAAAGACAAATACTGTACGATTCAACTTACATAAAATACCTAGAATAGGCAAAATCACAGGGACAGACAGTAGATTAGAAGTTACCAGGGCTGAGGGGAGGAGGTAATGGGTACAGAGTTTCTGTTTGCGGTGATGAAAGACTTCTGGAAATAGATAGTGGTGATGGTTGTACAACACTGTGAATCTAATTAATGCCAACAAATTATACATGGCAAATTTTACGTTATGCATATTTTACCACAATAAAAAAGTATAATTTTAAAGACTATAGAAAAGAACAGATTACCAATAAAATACACATCACAATTATATTGATATACAAATAAATTCTTAAAGAAAAGGTTATACATTAAAAGGAATGGTTATGTCATGTTAGAAGCCTCAGAATGTTTTTTTTACTAAACTTTTTATTTTGAGATAATCGTAGATTCACATGTAGTTATAAGAAATTCGACAGATTTCGTGTATCCTTTACTCAGTGTCCCCAAATGGTAACATCTTGCCTTGAAATGTTTTTATATCTTTAAATTTATTAAGAACAAAAACAGAAAACACCAGTTCCAGTTATACAGTAAACACACACCTATGTTCACATTCTCTCAAAATCCCATTAAGATGACAAAGCAAGGAATGAAAAAAAGGAATAAAGCCACAAGGATCAAGAACTTGGGAAGAGATGACAGAAAATTTAGGAATTAACAAAATTTCAAATGATAAAAAGCAGAAAGGTTAAGTGGTAAGTAGTTAACTAGGCAGGGCCAAGATAGCTGAGTTTAACATTATCCAATGCAGAGGACACTAATAAGCTGCAAACTAAGGTACAGAGGCGGCTGAAAATAGGAGACTTTGCTAAATTCTAAAAAGTCAGACTCTGCCCCAAGCCCAGCAGAAGTCTGGGAGTTTACTTCCAGAAGCTGAACCAGACACACTGTGGACTCAGAAAGAGCAGGCATAGCTGAAAACGGAGGATAAAGTGAAACTATGCACAGTCAATGATGACAGCCCCAGGCCCCCACACCCACCGACCCACCCTGAAAGCTGGATCCCAGAAGGCTATCAACCAAATGTATAAGTCCCCAAACAGAGAAGATAGAAACAGGTTCTACGGAAGTATTTCCAGGGATGAGGGGGGGTGGGGGTGGGGAGCTGGGAAACAGACCTATTATCTCAAGTTGCAGACCACACCAAGAGGAGCTTTAAACTTCTATGGTTCTGTCAGAATGTTTGCAGTTAATCAAACAAACAAAAAACATTAACTGAAAGAAGAAGAAAGTTGCATAAGCAAGGTCATCTCCAGACACTAAGTGGCTCAGCTGTGAATAATATCTAGTCATAAAAATATAAATATTGCCATAAAGAGAAACGAAGTTCTGGTACATGTCTCAACATGGATGAACCTTGCTAAGAGAAAAGTCATTTGCAAAAGGACAAATACTATATGATCTCACTTATATGAAATAAGCAAGTATATAGAAACCAAAGATTATTAATGGTTACCAGCAGTGGGAGAGAAAAGGGAAGGGGGAGTTTTTGTTTGGGAGGCACTGAGTTTATGTTAATGGTGGCAGAATATTTTGGATGATAGGGATAATGGTGGTACAGCATGAAAAATGTAATCAATGTCACTGAGTTGTAAATGTGGACGTTGCTTGTGTTGGCAGAGGCTTTAGTGTGTATGTTCTCACCACAATAATAAAAGGAGGAAAAAAATATATAGATAAATACTGAATGGTAACTGAACCACACTGGGAAGATGGGGCAAAGCGTGTAAGGGGCAAAGTGGGACGTTACAAACACCTAAATTATCACCTTCTAGGGCATCCATAGATAAGGACTATTAACTGTAAAAATGAACAAATAGCTACCTCTGTAAGCTGATAATTTAGAAATATGGACGTAAATAACAGAAGAAACAGTTAAGAGTTGAAAGTGGTTTGCCTCTGGAGAGCTGGAACCCAGGGTGGAGATGGCAAAGGGCCACTGCTGTTTTTCAATAAAAGCCCTGTAGTACTATTTGACTTTTTCACTTATATACATGTAATTTTTTGATACAAAAAATTACACATCTGTAACAGTTCTGCTTCAATTTGTATACATTTATATGAATTTTAATTATTATGTTTAGAAGTGATCAGATCCATATTCCATATCTGTAACAAAACTGTTGTACCGGTTTTTGTTTATTAAATGCCTGCATAATTTCTACTGCCAGCTCTTTCATTCTTGCAAGCCATTTTACATAACAGTTGTGCTTACTATTAATGCCTTCTTTAGTGAGTGCTAAAGAAGAATCTTCCAAGCAGGTGTTGTTATGAAACAATCCTTCATTTTCTACTCTGCACAGTTTTACTGCTAGGCAAAAAACTTCTTTGAAAATGAGAATCATTTTATTGCTTAGCTAAAAACACTAATGCAAAGAAAACAAAGGGTTAAAACATCACGCTGGGTGTCACTTCAGGATAATCGGACTCAAAGGCCCACTCCTAGGGGCAAGTTACATTTTAGAAAGATCTGGCTTCCTGAAACTGGGTCAACAGTTTTCAGCTTGAACCTTACTTGGACATTTTGCAATCCTCTACAAACATACTGCTGAGTGGCAGGATTTTTAGCTACTGCAGTCATCCTACAGTTAAAAGGTTCTGACAGCAAAATTACCTCCCTCAATTAAAATTTACATAGGGGCCTATGAATCTCATTGCAACAGTTTTACGTCCTCTATCTCACAGAACAACGACTACCTTATGGCTGCTAGTCATTCCAGTATTTCAGTTCCTCTAAAAAGAAAATTCTTACTATCTGGGCTCATTCACAAGGGAGCCCTCGCGGCACAGTGGGTAAGAGCTCAGCTGCTAACCTAAAGGTTGGCAGTTCCAATCCACCGGCCACTTCTTGGAAACCCTGTGGGGCAGTTCTACTCCGTCCAGTTGGGTCGCTATGAGTCAGAATCAACTCGACGGCAACAGGTTTGGTTTTTTTTTCGTTTGGGGTCATATGACATGAGCTAGGATTTCCAAACATACCCATTACTGTAGAGCTGTACTAGATCCCTGGTAACAAACCTTCATGGAATCTCGGTTGAAAGCAACTTAAATGTTCCTCTACTGCAGCCCCTCATCTGATGCTTCAACTTACAAGATGGTTTGTTCAGTCGTCCCCCATCTCAGTGCTTAGCACATAGTATGCTCAACAAGCACTTACTGAATGAATCCCTCCCACTTGGTTATCCAGATTCTGCTTCAATCCGTCAAGTAACATGAAACTCACACACTGTATTTTTAGAGAATTCTAACTACCAAAAAAATATTTTTCTCATTGAACGAATTTTAAATTTCCTTTAACAACTTCTTGCTAGCTCCTGTTCTAATTCCTCTCCAAAAAGACAGCTTTTCAAATATATGAAAGGAAGCACTCTGTCCTCACCAGACCAAGGCTCTCTCTGTCATGCAACTATTTCTTTCTCATATGCTTTCAACCCTGCTCCCACGGCCCTGAGCCCTCTTTTCAGAATGTTTACAATTTAGCCGAAACCTTCTAAAGCTTAGCTGGAGCCCTAAGCACATCATTCTAACCCTCTACTAACCCAGAATAAATGGCAACATCCTTTCAGAACCCAATATAGACTGCTGGCTACTTACCAGTTTGGGAATGCACTGCTACACCTGCCCTACAAGTGTAACCTCAAGTCAGCCGCAGTATCGAGCGAGCCCTGGTGGACTGAAGATGTGGACACTCAGCAATATGCTAGTCATCTCCACTGTGCTCTCAATGTACTTCATTCATTCCACACGGGGGTTACAGAGGCTCTCTATGACAAGCAGACTTCCAATCTTCACTAATTACAGAGTTCTATATAAGTAAAGCAGACCAAATTCACCAACTCTCCTTATGTGTGCCTCTATCTCTTTACATTTTACTCTACCCTACCACAGGCACACTGTCTTTCCGACAGGCAAAGTACTCCAACCACCCATTACCAGGAATATTCTGGGCTAAACCTTGTAAACTATTTTTTTAAATAATACTTTATTGTGTTTTTGGTAAAAGTTTATACAGTAAATTAGGTTCCCATTTGACAATTTCTAACACTGTAAACCTTTAATGTGAAACGGGGTGTGAAACTCCCACCGATGGGTGGTGAGCGATTTGACCCAATACATGTTGTTGTTGATGAGGAGTCTAAAGATATGGTTTCAATCCTGATATGTAACACTGTTCATTCACATAAAAAACTCCCAGTACAAGGCAACTAAATGCCACGTGGTACTCTGGATTGGATCCTGGAACAGTCAAAGAACATTCATGGAAAAACTGGGGAAATACAAACAAAGCCTGGAGGTTAACTGATAGCAATATACCAATGTTAATTTCTTAGTTCTGACAAATGTACCATGGTAATTTAAGATGTTAACTTTGGGGAAAGTTGGGCAAAGGATATATGGAAACTCTCGGTACAGTTTTGCAACTTTTCTGTAGATTTAAAATTATTCTAAAATAAAAAGCTTATTTTAAAAAAAACCTGAGACTTGATTTTTAGACTGTTTCAGAAGCCTAAAAATAGTGACTAACCCTTGCAGTTTTCAGCACATCGGGGACATTAAAAAGAGTCCACTGGACTTCATTAAAACAAAAAACATTGCTCTGCAAAAGACCCTGTTAACAGTATGAAAAGGCAACCAACAGATCAGGAGAAAATTAATTGAAACCATGCATCTGAAAAAGGACTTGTATTTAGAATACATAAAGAATTCTCAAAACTCAACAGTAAAAGCACACAATTCAGTTAGAAAATGGGCAAAAGGCACAGAAAGACATTTCAATCAAGAGGATACACAAATAGGAAATAAGCACATGAAAAGCTGTTCAACATCATTCACCATCAGAAAAACGCAAATTAAAACCACAATGAGATATCACTATATACCTATCAGAATGGCTAAAAGAAAAAACAGTGACAACGCTAAATGCTGGCGAGGAGGCAGAAAACGAGGTCCCTCATACGTTGCTGTTGGGACTGTGAAATGGTACAGCCACTCTAGGAAACAGTTTGGTAGTTTCTTAAGCAACTTAACATGCAATTAACATAAGGCATTTTTCCCAGAGAAATGAAGACTTACGTTCACACAAAACCTGTACAAATGTTCATAGCAGCTTTATTTGTGAAAGCCAAAAACTGGAAATAATCCAGGTGTTCTCCAGCAGGTGAATGGTTACAGAAACTATGGTATCTCCATACCATGGAATACTACTCAGCAATAAGAATGAATAAACTACTGATACATGCAACTTCAATGAATCTCCAGGGAATTATGCCACATTTAAAAAAAAAAAAAAACCTCAACAGGTTACACACTATACGAATCCATTTATATAACATCGTTGAAACAGCAAAGTTGTAGAGATGGAAAACATATTAGTGGTGGCCCAGGGTTAGTGATGGTGGCGGGGGAGGGGGCACGGAGACGTGGCTGTGGCTACAAAAGGGTAGCACAAAGGATTCTTGTAATGGATCTGTCCTGTATCTTGACTGTGGTAGTGCTCACACAAATCTGTGCACGAAGTACTATACTACATAGACACACCCACACACACAAGAGTGCACGTAGAACTGATGAAGTCTGACGAAGGCCCATGAACTGCAACGATGCCAATTTCCTGACTGTGATGTTGTACTATGGTTATGAGTCATGCAGGATGTTACCATTGGGCAAAATGGGTGAAGGGTACATAGGATCTCTCTGTACTATTTCTTACAACTGTGTGTGACTCTATAATTATCTCAAAATCTTACAAAAAAAAAAAAGAGAGAGAGAGAGAGTCTAATTATCTGCCAGGGGTTTATTATTTCTCCTGTGGCTTAACTCAACAAGAAACCATGCCTTCCATCTGACAGCACTCAGAGTACTTGGCTTGGCAGAACATCTGTCTTGACATCTCCCATTTACCACTCGCAGACATTTCAGAAAGGAAACCCAAACAACCTAGTTTCCGTAAGTACAGGCACGAACAGGATTCTGAACTGCACTTACCTTTGTACACTGTGTAGCAGGCAAGAGATCAACAAACACCTTGAGGTCTGTAAAACAACAAGGTTTATCCCCAAACTTTTTAAAATACTGAAACATTAATTCTTCTGGATCACCTAAAAGAGGGGAGGAAAAAATCACAAAAGGATTAATGGACTGAAGAAATTTCTAATTTAAGTGAGATATCTGATTTGAAAATCTTTATTTCAATGAAATAAAACTGAAATTTTGCCTGAACGCTTGCATGAGAATGAATGGAAATGACAATAAATGAGATAGGAGGGATAGAAGAGCACTTGCCATTTAAAAGGAGTTGAATCTCATAAACTCAGTTTACCTGTTACTATACTTCAAATAATTAAAAAAAGAAGTGATGGATTTTTTTAAACAAACATGCTTCTCTTCATAATTGTTCATTAACTACTTAACAAATATTAAATGTTAATTAAATGAAAGGAAATGTTTGTTAACTCAGTCACACTAACAGAAGAGAGAATAAATGGAAGAGCCGTGGGCCTGTAGTTCACTCCAACAACAAGGTCACTCACTATGGAAAATTTAAACCGCAGTATGTAAAAAGCTACCTGCTCATTTTATTCTTCCCCAAATTAAAAGAGAAAATGTTCTCAAATTGACAAGAGATTTAAGCAGCAAGGATTTTTAACCCCGGGCCTAACATTTTAGGGCTCAGTTCCTCTTTACATTTTTCTGGCTTTATTCAGATTCTCACATAACTCTGTGATCCAAAAAAAAGCTAAGAATTACCTACTGGTCTGGTTAAAAAAAAAATTTTTTTTTTTTTTTTTGTGGAGAACAGACAAACTCAGTTTTTCAAGATGGGTGGTCGTGGTAGGAAGGGAAAGATGGGGACAAGTACAGCAAGTGATAAAGCAGATGCAAACACCTTCATATTCAGCTTTGGAAAGAAGGTAACTCTTTGGAATTTATTTTACCAATATTTTGCTGAAGGTCATAGGAAAGTTTTCATTTGCAATTCTTAAACTAACATAGACTGTTGGTTATCCAAAGAAAAAAGTCATCATGGAATTCAAACTTAGCTATGAATGATCAACAAAGGGAATGACTGAAAGAGGTACACGGTAAACTTTAGGAAGAGCCACAAAAAACATTATTAAATGATGAAAATGGACAGAGATAAGGGATACAAGTGGTTTTCATTATTGCAGGACAACCTGTCCCCGAAAACAACCCTCTTACAATCAGTCAACTTTCACTAGAGACCAAACCTCCAAAATTGTTAGTTTCAAAAAAAAAAAGGTTTCTTTTGGGCTTTGTGATGGTTAAGTTTGTGTGTCAACCCTGACTGGGATCACAACAGAGGGTTCTGGACAGAGCTAGAGAAGGATGCAGAACAAAATTCTAACTCACAAAAAGAAGACCAGATTTACTGGCCTAAAGGAGACTGGAGAAACCCCGAGAGTATGGCCCTCAGACACCCTTTTAGCTCAGTGGTGAAGTCATTTCTGAGGTTCACCATTCAGCTGGGGAGTGGACAGCCCCATAAAACCAAATGGGACTAATGATGCATAGCAGTCCAGGGACAAGGGCCAGAAGGCAGAAGGGGACAGGAAAGCTGGTGATAGGGAACCCAATGTTGAGTAAGGATAGTGTTGATGTGTTGTGAGGTTGTTAACCACTGTCATAGGGCAACATGTGTACTGTTAAATGAGGAACTATTTTGTTCTGTAAACCTTCATCTAAAGTGAGAACAGCAGCACAATTGGAAGAGCGTAGTTGGTGTCCCTGAACGGTGCATGTAGACATTTTTGAAATGGTGTATCTTTGGCTATGTATATTTTCACCAAAAAAAACAAGGTCGAGAAGGGAAAGGGTTGACATGTTGTGGGGTTGTTTACCAATGTCATAAAACAATATGTGTACTACTGTTTCATGAGAAACTATTTGTTCCGTAAGCCTTCACCAAAAGTACAATAAAAAAGATTGTGTGTCAACTTGGCTGGGCCATGATTCTCAGCGTTTGTATGTGATCACTCCCATGACTGAATATGCTGTGAGTAGCCAATCAGTGGAAAGGAAGTTTCCCTGGGGGTGTGGCCTGCATCTGAATATAAACAGATGTTCTGGCTTTTTGCTCACTCTGGATCCTGCGGCTGCCTCCTGTTCGTCTGACTTCTAGTTCTTGGGACTTGAGCTGTCAGCTTATCTGCTCAACTTGGGATTTGTCCATCTTCACAGCCTATGAGCGGAGCCCTACTCTCTGACCTACCAATCTGGGGTTTGCCAGCCCCTGCAGCTACATGAATCAAGAGAAACCTTACGGTCTTGCCTGCCGATCTTGGAATTCGTCAACCTTCACAGCCTGTGAGTGGGAGCCCTGCTCTCCGATCTTCCAAACTTGGGCTTGCCAGCTTCTGCAGCTGCGTGAATTGGGAGAGGCCTCTACCCTGATCCACGGACTTGGGACGTTCTAGCCTCTACAATCGCGTGAGCTGCTTCCTTGATATAAATCTCTCCCTATATATATATATTTATACGCTTTACTAGTTTTGCTTCTCTAGAGAACCCAGACTAAGACAGGCTTCATGTTAAAACTGAACTGAAAAATTAAGAAAGTTTATTATCTTAAATTTTTAACAAAAGGTAGGGTATAATTACAACTATAAGCTAATTCTTAGTAAGACCAAAGAATTACTGCCTTTTTTGTGTCATTTTTCCAACGAGACGGTGAACTAGCACAGTATGACCTCCTTCATTTCCTGTACAGTGTGATTATAAAGAAACATTTTATAAAAACACAATACAAAACATCTAAGGGCTTCATCAATTTTCCTGAGGGCCTCTCTTAATGCTTTACTATCCAAATCACTCTTTTCTCTCATCTTGTCATTATCCTCATCAATTTTATCTGCAGCTGTTAACTGGCCTAACTCTGCCAAGTGTTCTTTTTTTCTATGGCTTGGTGAGTGCTTGGGGTAGATTTTCAAGAAAACTTTCATCTGCTTCACAAAATCCTGAACCTTTCATAAAACTATTTTACTTTGAAATTGACTTTGACTTAATTGTTAGGTTATCAAGAGAATGCCTGACAAAAACTGAGAAAATAGGGAGAGATGTTAATGTTAAGCCAGGTTCAATACGTGATTAACGACTAACTTTATAAGTGATCCATTCATTAGTAAATATTCTCAGGTTATGAGGACTTTTGCTTCTCAAGCATGACTTTGTCACTGTCAGCCTCAGATAATGAATACTGCACTTGAGTACTAAGGGTATCCTTCTACCATCTCCAGGTTTCCCAAATATCATCCCAACCATCATTACTGTTCCTTACCCAGTTTGTACTCATCATTACAACCTTGACGTCGTAAACGCCTTATCAACTCCAATTTAGCTAGATGGGGCCCTCGAAGATGGCGAGAACTTTTAGATTCTTCTGTTATCCGATCTTCTATAAACTTCACAGCTTCTTCTGTAGAATAATGTACTTCTCCTTCTAACGAGCTAGGTATAAGCACGTAAGAAAGGTATTTTGTGACTCTATTGTCTTTCCCAAAGCTTAAAGTCAAACAAAATTATTTTAAGAAACAAATTAAAAAGTTAAAAAAAAAAAAAAACTCTGATGATCATAAAGCAATATATAATGGGAATAAAAGAGAACTATGAGTATATTCTAGAAAATAAATAAGATTTACTTCCAATTTTGGCATTTGATTATTGCAGAGTGACTAACCACCTTTACCTGTTTCTTTAAAAAAGAATGGATTGTTTTGTATATATAAAATATTGCCCAAAACGAGTAACAGAGACCAAAGCTTAATAGTGGTTACCAGTGACTGGCGGGAGGGGGAAAAGGGGAGTTACTGTTTAAGCAGCACTGAGTTTCTGTTAAGGGTGATGAAAAAATTTGGAAACAGATGGTGGTGATGGTTATACAACATGATAAACATAATTAATGTCAGTGAACCGTACGCGTGAAAATCGTAAAAATGCCAAGTGTTTTTTTTATATGTATTTTGCCACAATAAAAAAACTGCCTAAGAAAAAAATACAGATTTCATTTTTATTGCTTGAAGAATGAAGGCTGAAGAAAATGAGATGACTTAGTTAATATTATGAAGTAAGCATCAGTTCATAATTGATATCTTAAATCTTATTCTGTATTTACTTTTAAAACAGATCCAATTTATGTCTTTTTTGTCCATAATAGCCAAACAAGAAAGGACAGAAGAAGGAAATCAGCAACAATCCAAGTGACCATGCGTCCATCAACAGGAAGAGTTTAAACGAATTATGTTACGTCTCTAAAACAGAGTACTCTTAAGCCACCAAGAATAAAATAGATGCATACATACCATACATGGGAAGATGCCCTGGATATATTTTAAGTGGGAAAAATCAAGTTGTAAACCATTATGTCTAGTATGATCCCATTTTTAAGTTAGATAATAATAGTTATGTTAGTATATGGACAGAAATAAATCTGGAGAAATAGACACCAAACCGTTATCAAGAGTTATTTCTGGGAGGTAGGATTGGGGAATAACACTTTCTATACCATACATTTCTGTACTAATTTAAGATTTTTTCACAATGAACCTGTTTTTATTTTATAATCAAAACAATAAAAGAATCTCTTACTTTGAAACAGATGCATTGCTGAGACAGAGAAAGAGAATTCAATGAGGCTCACAATGAAGTCCTTTTGCTACAGCTACAACATACTAAAAAATGCCTTTTTAATTCAGGAAAGAAGACAACTTACTGTTCACCTTCAGCAGGAGGAGTCCAGGCCTCTTCAATCAGTCGAAAGACAGAATCGAAATAAGTCAGATAGAACTGCCAGTCATCTGAGCTAAAAACAGATTGAGTGATGCACAAAGGATTAAACCCAAGCTGTGACAAACCTGCCTTAGGAACCATGATATTCAACTTATTTTCTAAATTATGTTTTAGTCTGCATTAGGAGAGCCCTCCTGCCAGGTTTCCTCTGCAGCCCTGAAAGGGCATCACTCAGAGGCATTTTCAAAGTAAACACTGTCAAGAGACCACTCTTCCCTTCAATAAAATGACCAGGTCCAGGAAAGTAATATTCTTAACAGAAAACTCCTCAATGGGGTCAGGGGGTTGTAGAAAGGGAGGAAAGCCTCTCTCTTTTAGGCTACTATTGAATTCAATGAATTAATGATATTCAGATTTCACCTGAAGACCTAATTAACATTCAGCACTTCCAGAGCATAAGTACCATTATACTTCTTTACTAAAAGATGAATGAAAACTCATTGAAAACTTTAAACAACATCAAGGACAAAATACAACAAGACTACTTTATGCCCAGAAATCTCAAAAGATATAGAACTACGCAAAAAAAATCAGTAGTGAGCTCTTAAAGCCCGACTCCAGTCTCATCGTCCAAAAGGAAGCATGTACTCACTTTTTCAGTAAGAGGCGCCGGGAAAGGGCATTGCACTCTGGCCACCTGCTCAGCTTCTTGTACATAGCCATGCACTTATTTTCCCGACTCTGAATCTCACTTGTCAGCTTCTCTACAATTAAAAGTGGTAAACGCTGGTAAACTGCTTTCATTTCTGCTCAAAGACCAGAATAAAGCACAACCGCAAGAAGGAAAATGTTTCACATTCTTATTCGGTCTCTTAGAAAATGGGGCTACTATCAGATACAAACTACTATCTTATCAAAGATTATTTTGCTGAAAAGAAGAAATATATATTTCTGATAATAATCACTTACACCGTAAAATACAAAGGATCCAGAACCTGTTAAGCTGAGGATCTAGTAAGTGGGATACATTTTAAAGCCCGAATAGCATTTTGTTACTGGTCTTAGGTGACATCAAGGTGATTTTTGACTCATAGCGACCCCATGTGACAGAGTACAACTGTCCCATAGGGTTTCCTAGGCTGTAATCTTTATGGGAACAGATCACCAGGTTTTTCACCTGCAGAGTCGCTGAGTGGGTTCGAACCACCAACCTTTTGGTTACCAGCTGAGCATTCAACTGTTGTGCCACTAGGGCTGCTTGAACAGCATTTAGGGACGGTAAAGTCCAAAGATGACTTCCCATCCATACAGTTCCAAAACACCAAATAGGCTTGGGCTGCAATGAGGCGAGCAAGGTGAGACGTTAGAAGGAAGATTTAAAAAGAGTTGTGATGAATCAAACTCTTTCCAAACAGCTGGGAACAGAAAAACTAGGACTATAGTTCTAGCGCTTGGCTGCTAACCAAAAGGTCAGCAGTTTAAATCCACCAGCTGATCCACGGGAAAAAGATGGGGCCGTCTGCTTCTGTAAAGATTTAAAGCTTTGGAAACCCTAGGGGGCAGTTCTACCCTATTCTGTAGGGTCACTATGAGTCGGAATCGACTTGACGGGAGGGTTATAGTTCTGACCAAATAAGATTTACTGTGTCCTTTTAGAATATCTTAGCAGACAAAGGATATTGAAAATTACATTATAAATTGCCTGTAGAGAATCTAAATTTCACTACCCACAGAACAACAATTGAGCTGAGAAAAAAACAGAAAGGCAGACTTGTTGCCATCTGTAAGAAGGCTTAAGTTAGAGAGAATATCTCATAAAAGATCTCCTATATTTTATACAATTAGTTATCTATTAATTGGTGTTACATAGTTTTATTTTATGACTGTACATAGCCTAGTAGAGTATATAAACACTTGTACGAATCAAAGTCTTTTTAATGATCGTAGTTAATTAAAAATCCAAGGCTACAGATACACAGTTAGATACTCCCACTGACTATAAAGGCACAATTTTTTAAAAAACAGCTTTTATCGAAACAGTAACTGCACTTCTAGGAATTTCTCCTAAGAAAATCATACAAGATGCGCAAATATTTACGAACTAGAATCTTTGTTATAAGTGCCCAATAATAGGGGAATGGTTAAATCAATCTATGAAGTTCATAAAAATCAGTTTTCCAACCAAAAGGGAAGGGACCATGGAAAAGAGCTAATTCACTTAACATATAAAATGGTCTTGCAAATCAGTAAGAAAAAGACTAACCAAAATCCTAAAAATACAAAAAGGATAAAGAAAAGCTCACATAAAAAGACAAAATTAATGGCTAATAGCCTTTAAACAAATGAAGAAAATGATCACCTTACTTTATGATTAAAGAAATAAATTGTAAGATTTTTTTCCTATCAGATCCAAAAGCAAACAGTTTGAAATGAGACTTTGATGATACAGTTTGGTAAGTATGCAAAGAAACAAGCCCCTTTACACACTGATAGTAGATACAGCCGGTGGGAATGTACACTGGTGTCTCTTGTGGGGTGATGTGGTTTGTAGCAAAGATGTTCCTTGCAAACAGACTAAATATCTAAATATCCATCAAGAAGGACGGCTTAAATAAATTCTGTACATTTATATTATGAAATATTGGGCAGTAGTTAAAGAGTAGGGTATGTCTCCTTACTAAGACTAAGACATTGTAAGTTAAAAAAAAAAAAAATAGGTATAACAGTATGCATAGCAAAGGTCATAAACTCAAATGCCTTCATAGGACAGGCAGTAAACAAGGAATGTCTGTATCTCTAAAGTTCACATCCTGATCAGAGGGATTAACGTTCACATTTTTAAAACATTTTTTTAATCTTCTTAAAAAATAAAAATCTTGCTAATCAAGTAAGATTATTCTATGGGCCAGACATCCAGGTACAACATGTTATGGTTTTTAAACAAAAAGGAGGAGGGGAAGATATATCTTGAGAAGGCTATATAGAACAGGTAAGTGGAGAAGAATCTGGGAGGGTGGGGGCTAGAGATCTAGGGAATACTTTTTTACACTCCTTGAATGTTCTGAATCCATGAACTATATTCAATTAGAAAATATTAAAATTTTTCAGCACTCAGAAAAGTCTGGAAAAACATAACAGAATGGTTACAAGTGACTTTTTATGTCTTTATAGCTTTATGTTTTCGTATGAGGAAAACATTTTTCACAATAAACACCTGTCATGTTTAAATAAAAGGAAAAAAAAAAAATTCTAAGAAAACTTAAAAAATTACCTCCTAACTTCCCTCTGATGACGTCCAAGGCTTCCTGGTACTTTCCCAAACGTTCCAGGATCATATAATAAAGTTCAACCTTACAGAAAAAAAAAAGAAATGCAGTCATTGAAACTTTTCAATAATAAAAAGCTAGTCGTTTGTATGTTTTTAAAAAGTTATATAAATAGAAAACACTATCTTCAAATGAGATGAAATTCACAGTAAAAATCAGACAACAGTGTCTTCCCATTTTTATACATCTCAGATCCAAAAACATAAACAGTCTGAAATGAGTACTTGCTGGAAACAGCTCAGTGTCCATTATACCTAAACTGGGGGTTTCCAAAGCTCCACGTGTACCGGTCTCTGACTGGAGAAAAGTAACAATTCACTACCAAAGTAACAATTCACTCTCAAAATCATGCAAAATTGAGTTTAAATTACTCACTTCAGCCTCAGCTTCAATCTTGTCCTCTTTCACCATTTTTTCTACCATTCTCTCAGCAAGGGGCAGAAACATCATTTTTGAAAGGTTCTCATCCTGTGCCGATATAGACTAGAGGAGGAAAAATAAATGTTTCATTTTAATTCCTCCCGTTACACTATTTGCATTTACCATGCAGCCCACTACCGTGATGCCAGCACACAACTATCAATCCACCATGTCAAACAGCAGACCTAATCTGAACCTGCCAAGCAGCTCTAAGAGTGGTTTCTTTACTAAAGATTCATCATCCTATGCGTTCTTGAAATACCGAACTCCCACAATATGGTCTAACTTTTACATAAGTTATTCATACATTTTTCTAGAAATATGTAAAGAGGGGCTACGCCTATGCTGTCTAATACATATAAACGGTAGCATCAGGTGTTTGAAGAGTCTTCTGTCTTTTTGTGATGTTCACATTTCCCTTTAGAAAAAGGGAAATATTAATTCCTTCAGTTACTATTAGCTAAGGTAATCTCAGACTGATAACTAAAATCAATGCATGATATTAATAATTTTAATAATTTTAACACTGCCAGACATTCTGCTCAGATCTCTAAATACATAACTTATGCTTATTTTACAGATAAAGAAACTAAGCTTAAGAGATTCCCCAAAAGTTCTCCAAGATATATGGTGCAGCCAATATTTGAACCCAGGTCTGTCTGACCCCAGAGCCTCTGTCCTTAACCACTACATATAACTCCCCCTCTATCGTCTCCTGCACAGTATCTCATTTTGGTCCTCACAGTAGCTCTGGGAGATGAGCATCTCCATTCTGCAGAAAAGCAAAGAGGCTCAGAAAGGAGAAGGGGCAAAACAAAGCCACCCAGTTCAGTGACCTGTTCATTAACCAACAATATTTTCTTAAAAGACAAACTTCAAGGTGAAATAGCTCAAACATTTTGAGGAACACATTTGATTAAACAATCTAACAATAGATCTAAAATTCAGGGGAAATACAATCCATGCTGCACAGAAATAAACTGCTATAGCAACCCATAAGGAATTCCAAAAATCCCCAACTCAAAAAGTCAACCGACGATATGTAAAGCCCCATTTGCCAAACGCTGCAATTCATTACCCAAGACAGTCAGAAGGCCACATTAAAGACAATGTCTTAACTACGTATGAAAATAAAAACAAATCTCAACCCCATTCTGAATGCCATACTCACTTGCATAATTAAGCTCATCACAGACCAAAAGTAGTAAGGGTTTTTGGGGACAATCTTATATAGAGCCATGCCAGCCTGAAAGACAGAGCCAAAACACTTCATTTAGAAAACATCGTACAGAGGGCAAATTAATGATGCAGATGTGTGACAAGAAGTTTCCCAGGAGAACAGTAACATGTTTATATATTCCAGTTAGGGCTGGTGCCTGGTGACTTGATGGATACAGCAACAGAGGTAATCACAAAGGTAAGTTTTTACCACATCACGTGTCATATCCACCTTTTGAACCAGATTTTTCTAAAATTAAAGTCCCATCTTTCTAGAATATGCTGCAACCCAATATATTTCTAGTAGACTACCAAGCAAACACGAAAATTTGGCTTATGAGCGTACATCAATAAACATTACTGAAGCTACCGTACCAACCAGTTACAGTAAAACAAACGCACACACACACAATCCAGATAGTGTATTTAAACTTCAAAATTAGAAAAGATTACCATGACATAATTCAAAAAATAATGCTTAGGTTAGGAAAACGATCAGGTTTTTTCAAGATAAACTCATTGTGAAACAGGGGCATGACAAGAAGGGACAAAATAGACCTATTCACGCATAACTAAGAATCTGTCCAAAATTAGCCCGCAGGTAACTGTTGCTAAGAACTCCACAACTAATCATCATAGTTACTATTTTATATTTTTGAATCTTTTGCCTGTCAATCCACTTCAAAAATTACCTGGAACCCCTAAGTGGAAGAAAATGTCTATTCCTGTCAAAATTACAAAGATTGAGTCCCCGTCCCAAAGGCATTTAAAAGATAGGGAAAGAGATAAGACAAATATACAAATGATTAAAATATACTTGGCAATAAAGATGAACATCCTACAGAAAAGCACTATGCTAGGGTGTTTCCAAGGAAGGGTAGTTGGTTTGTTTTCTCTTCTTTTCTTTTAAGGGAAAGCAGGGAAGCGAACTCAATAAAGTCATCACCAAAGTAGCAGTCTTCCAGATGGACTCTGAAGGTCAAATAGAGTGTCTACAGGCAAAGGTGGAGATAGGGATACAAATACAAATATTTCTAAATAGGTGAATCAATTCTAGAGAGGAAATGAGTCTGGAACAGAGAGCAAAGGAAAAAAGTAAAGGCATATTTTGACAAGAATGAGGAGGGCATGTGGCTGAAACAAAGAATGAAGAGGCATACAGGGAAAGGCTTGAAGGGTAGGTTGAAGTACCTTGGTCGTAAGGTATTCAAAAGGAGTCTGTCTATAGGGAGTAGGGGAGTGACAGTATAAATCTATACTCTTCTAGGAAGAATATTTTAGTGGTACTGTGAAGAGACAGAATAGGGAGAAAGAAGAGGTGAAGAGATGAGGAACTAACCCAGGATGAGGTAGATGAAAGAGAAAAGACCTGAAAGACACTGTAGAGATAGAATCAGTAAGATTTGGAGACAAAACGGATATACAGGGTATATCTGCTGATACAGAACGTTTTCGATGATGGACAAGTTTGAAAAACATGGCTCTAAGGTTGTAAGCTCAATGACTCAGAGAATGGAAATGTCATTTATAGAAAAAGGAAAGTCTAGTCACCATATGAATAACTAGCAACTCTTCATTAGAGTGGTTTTATATCTTATCTTCCAGGGATGCTATTTAGGGCAGTAGAAGCTGTAGAGTTTTCTGATTCCTACGCTTCCCTCCGGCCACTAGTTTATGGAATCAGTCATTTAACAAATTACCATACAGATGCTATCCTAGGCACTGGGGATTCAGCAGTGAACAAAACAAAGCCACCCCTTCCCCCAGAAACAGGACACTAAATTTATAAATTACATACTACCTCAGACTGACATACCACTTTCAAAATAAACGTGTACAGCTAAGGAACTGTAACTCTCTTAAGCAACAACAAAGGCAGTATGAAAAGTAGACGTTCCATCCTAAACTATTTACCATTGGAGTACTCCATTCTTCCAATACATTATTAGAATCAAATGATGCACAATCAAGTTATGACTAAAACATATTAAGGAACTGTAACTTAAACCACATCAACACAATGTCTCCAAAAAGCAAGATGCAAATTTGTATATCTCTCTTGCGACACGCAAAGCTAAACTATATAAAAATAAAAAGTAGCCCAATGTTCCAACGGCAGATTATTTCTTCCCTTTTCAAAACTTACCTTAATACTGCTATTGCATGAACTTTTCCTTCTTGCTATTTTATAAATCTTTTTAAAACGGAAATAGTTTTATTTTGTGGGATCATAAAATTAATGCATACTTTTTTTTTTTTAAACAGAAAATAAGATGAAAGAAAATTATCCATAGCCCCATACCCTGGTAACAATTTGGCATATATCCTTAGAGACATATCCTTTATTGTGGAGAAGTAGATGTGGGGGAAATGGGACAAGAAGGTTGTTTTACAACCTGCTCTTCTCAATTAACATTATATTTTGGGAACATCTTTCTACGTCAACAAAGACAGACACACAGTATTATTTGGGGGGAAGGGACATTACATTTCATTCTACTGTACAGATGTACCATAATTTAACTATATCCCTATTGATGGTCGTTTAACGTACTTTGCTTAAAATACATTCCTAGAAGTTAAAAATTATATTTAAGATTTATATGTATACATTGGTGATGCCATTTTTTTAAAATACATCCATTTTACATGAAAAGAAAAATTATCATCTGTGAATGTTTTTTCTGGGACATACTACATCAGTAAATAAATCAATGATGAAAATTTTTTAAAGAAATACACTTGGGAGGAAACAACTCTTCCAATCTGAAAACTTGCCTAAGCAAATAGAAAGGTTATTTTTAAGAATAAAGGACACTTTATTAATATAGTATCTCCCACCCTGCCTGAATCATCTGTTATAGCTTGATATCTCCCGCAAAGAATAAAATAAAAACCCAAGTAAGAAAGCTTTGCCTTCAAAGACATTATACCCACGAATACAGCATTTAAAAAAAAAAAAAAACTAGCTTGACATCATCACTCTTTATGGGCTAAACTGTGTGGGTTTCATTTCTCTGGGAAGTCTGTCAGCTTTTCCACGCACTAGTCCAAACGAGGCTCTTTCACATGTACACAAGAATACCCAAAAAGTGCTAACTGGCAAATAAGCTGCCTCAGGCAAAAATAAGCTCCACAGGCAAGGGGATTCTCCCCCCTTGACATAAAACTCTCAGCAGGCCACAAACAGTTAATTTACAAATGAGATATAAACTTGAAAGTTACTTTTCTATAATCTGTTCATTTTTGCTCCGCGATTTCTGCCCATTTTCTAAAAATTTAACAATCTGTTTCAGTGTGACGATACGAAGCCAACCTACCAGAACCAAAACATACCATCAGGCCACAAAAGATCAACTCTTCCCCAAATAAATCACTTAAGGAACTTGAATAACAGTTCATCTTTAAAACATGCAAGGAAAATAACCGGCTGATCTCCACACACAAATACATAAATGCAGTTCTACACGCACACACGCACCACTGCAGTTAAAATATTAGAGACTCTTCTCCTTAATAGCAAATCCAACAGCCCAGGAGGTTTGTGGAATCAAGTTATTACCTGTTGCATTTTCTTATATTCGCCTACTCTGGCATAGGCCATGAAGAGGTGAGAGTGATACTCCTCACTGTTGGGAACTTTCTTCACAGCTGCCTCATAAAGTTTTGTAACTAACTCCGCTAAGATAAAGAGAAATAAGATTTAAGTTATACTTCAATAATCAAAGAAATCCTAACATCATTCAATTTCTTTCCTATTTGGCAGAAATAATTTCTCCTATCATTAAGGAAGAAGTATTTTCTTTGCCTTGTTTGATCAACTGTCTTGTCTTGGTTAGGTGTTGTTCCAATGAAGCCTGGAATAGGTCAGGGCTCCCCATCACATATACGAGACCCGCAAGGGCCTGGCCTCTGTCTCCTTCCTCTTTCCCTAGTACTTTCTGCTCTAGCCACAGCAAACTATTTGTAGTTCCGGCAGATTCCCAGTACTATTTCATCCCTCTGTACCTTTATACTGGTCCTTCTGCCTGGACTCTCCTCTCTTTTCTACAGTGAACACCATCCAAGAGCTAGTTCAAGTGTAATCCTGTCTTCAAGACCTTCCTTGAACACCATCTCTGCTCCTTCATCTCGATTTGATGATGGCCTCTCTCTCTGCCATCTCTGAATGTTTTAAATAACTGCTGTACCATTTGTAAATACATAATGCAGTATACTGTCTATTGATCTATTTCTTACAGACTACGAGCAACATGAGGGCAGAAATAGCAACTTTCACTATTGACTCTGATACGATACTTGTCACAGAGAAATATTCAATCAGTATTTGTGGAAAAGACTAATGATTTTTTTTAAATACTAAGGGGAGAATCCATATCCCTAAATTAACATAATCCCTAATAAATCACATATAACACCTAACTCTTAAGTTTTATTATTTATAAGAATTAAAAACAAAACTGAACTATAAGATAACATTTTCCACCTACCAAATTGACAAAAATTTTAAAATCTAAGAATGCCAAGTGTTGACAAGGATGTGGACAATTGGAACTCATATATACCTGGTGGGAAAGCAAATTTGGAAAATAAGTTGGCATTATCCTTCTTTATCTTTTAAAGCTGACCATACATGACCTAGCACTTCCTAGATTAGGGCATAATCACCCAAAGAAATATTCCATGGCAGTGAAAATGAATTAACTACAACTACTTGGGTATCCCACCAGACATCTGTCAATTTTTTGTACTGTGTGGCTTACATGTTGCTATGATGCTAGAAGCAATGCCACTGGTATTTCAAATACCAGCAGGGTCATTCATGGTAGACAGGTTTCAGCAGAGCTTCCAGACTAAGACAGACTAGGAAGAAAGGTCTGGAAATCTGCTTCTAAAAATTAGCCAACGAAAACCCTATGGATCAGAACAGAATATAGTCTGACTGGACTCAAACACACCAACAATCGTGAAGACGGTACAGGATCGGGTAATATTTCATTCTGTTATCACAGGGTCGCCATCAGTTGCAGCCAACTTGACGGAAGCCAACAATAATACTTGGATAGTAAATGAAAAAAGCAAGTCACAGAATATACAGTATGAATCCACTTATATAAAGTTTGAAAATAAGCAAAACTAAATAGTGTATTACTTAAAGACACAAATGTGATAAAGATTTAAAGAAAATCAAGAGGATAAAAAATATCCAGAATAGGGAATCCTATCCTGGGGGCAAAAGGGAAAATGAGATTGATAAGGAACATACAGGGAGCCTTCTCAGCACTCAGAATGAATGCTCTATTTCATAAGTTGGGTGGTAGGTTCACGGATGTTTATTATTATACATCATAATTTATTTTCATAATATTTACTATAAAAGGAGTCCCTGGGTGGTGCAACTGGTTAACTGCTTGACTACTAACTGAAAGGTTGACAGTTCAAACTACCCAGAGGCACCTTGGAAGAAAGTCCTGGCAATCTACTTCTGAAAGTGAAAGATCACAGCCTTAAAAACCCTATGGAATACAGTTCTACTCTGCACACATGGGGTTGCCATGAATCAGAATTGACTAACAGCAACTGGTTTATTTTGGTATTATAAAAAATTTAAGAAACCAACAATGAAAACATTTATTTAAAGCAATTTCTTATTTACAGATGAAATGATAGGCTATCTAGGATATGCTCTGAAATAGTCTGGCAGCGGGAGGGACGTAGATAAAATAAAACTGGCCACATGTTAATAATAGTTGAAGGTAGGTAATGGGTAAAATGAGATTTTTTTATGCTAGTCTCTCTAATTTAGTCTGTGTTTAAAATTTTCCACGATAACTCCTCCATTTAGCAAAACAAAATGTCACAATTAACTCAATTTAATCCTCATTTCAATTTAAGGATCCTAATACATGTAAAAGATCCTTCTTGTCTGCAGTCTTCAGAAACCACGGTTAATGCATTACCTGGCAGGGCTTATCCTACCTGTTTCCGCCCACTCAAATCATGAATGATTAAGTAAAGCAGACAAAGCCATGTAGAAAATTCAACCAAAAATATCAAAAAAAACTTAAGCTCAGTTTTTAAAACAATAGAAAGAAGGCAACATACGTCGATGCATCTCCCGGTAAAGAATAGTCAGTGCCTGCAGCGAGTTGTCGTCTGTGGGCTCAAGGGCTGCCACTTCCTGCGCCAAGGTGAATGCTTCCTCTTGCTTTCCAGTTCTCTGCAAACCAATTGCCTTTAGAACCTGACAGGAAGCAAAGAAAAATTGTTTTAAAAGGGCAGGAAAGGAACTATGAACTAAAGAAAGCAAATTTGAAAACAAAAATTGTACGATATGCCTGGGTTGCTAATCGACTAAACCAATTTTTACTAAAAATATAAGCAATCAAGATTCTTTCCTATTGCAGTTATATTAAGAGGGCACAACATTGCTTAAAAGGACTCTGTGGAAATAAAGTAATTAAATTAGATAAGTAATATCCAAAGAAATAAAAAGCTAGCTTTTAATTAAATACCACTTAACAGTATTTAAGTGATCAAGAAAATAAATGGCCTGAAAAGTACTGTAAAAAAACACAGGTAACAGTCACTGAAGAGATTAATTAAACATCCGTTTCCTTCAAGGTGAACAATTACAATACATAACCCATGAAATATAAATAACTCAAGGGCAATGGAACTTATACCTTAGCACAATGAAGATCCTTATGTTTCTTCAACAGTTTATCTGCTTGCTGAATTGCCATTTTATTATTACCATTATCAAGATAATCTGTGAAAAAAGAAACTTATATGTTAGTTATTACATTCCTTCAACAACAAATATGAAAAATACACAGGCTGGTATCAGATGCATCAGAAAGTACCTTGACTCTGGATTAAAAACATCAGGGAGCTGATTTCAACTCTCAGTGGCTAAAACGGCCCAGAATTCAATCTGATATTCCTATAGTCATCTCTCACGCAAAAGCAATATAACAGGTTATATTAAACCTACTGCTGTCAAGTCGATTCCAACTTTTAGCAACCCTACAGGACAGAGCAGAACTGCCCCATAAAGTTTCCAAGACTGCAAATCTTTACGGAAGCAGACTGCCACATCTTTCTCCCGTGGAACAGCTGGTGTTTTCCAATCACCAACCTTCTGGTTAGCAGCCAAGCGCTTAACCACTGTGCCACCAGGGCTCCTTCAGGTTATATTAATCCTTCTTAATGAAGATTCAATACTACATATATTTAGAGGATAGATAACACTGCTTTTTGTCTATGGGAAATAAAAAGGTTTGGTCACAAAAAAATTGAAAAATAGAATAGTCAAGCTTCAAATATTCCAACTGGACCATATTCATTCAATAAAATATACTTAATCAATATTTACTTTGCCACAGAGTTAAGTATATAATTTGCTAAAGAAGAAAAGAATAAAAGAAGGTTTTACGCATAAGACTGAGAGTAAAAAATTAAGTCTAATAATATCAGGAATGTGCAAGGATGTAGGTAAAATAGCACTTTCACATATTCTGGTTGAACTATAAACTAGCACTCACTTTGAAGAACAATTGACCTCTAGGTTTTCCTAAGCTATGTATCCATTCCAAATTTTAAGGAATATGGAGACCTACTATAAAATTGTGTTAAAGAAAAAATGTAATCCTTATTCAAAAGCCTAACAAAAGCTTCCTCAAAAAGTTAAACATAGAATTACCATATGATCCAGCAATTCTACTCCTAAGTATATACCCAAAAGACTTGAAAGCAGAAACTCAAATAGATACTTGTACATCAATATTCACTGCAGCATTATTCACAACATTCAAAAGGTGGAAACAACCCACCTGTCCATCAACAGAAAAAACGAGAAACAAAACGTGGTCAATCCATACAATAGATTATTTAGCCATAAAGAGAAATGAAGTTCTGATATATGCAACAATGTAGATGAACCTGGAAACCATTATGCCAAGTGAAGTAAGTCAAACACAAAAGGAAAAGTACTGTACGATCCCACTTACGTGAAATATCTAAAATGCGCAAATGCACAAAGACCAACGTTTATTAGTGGTTACCAGGGGCAAGTGGGAGAGAGAATAAAGAATTACTGCTCAAGGGGTGCCAAGTTTCTGTTGTGGGTGATAAAAATTTTGGAAATGGACAGCGGTGATGATTGCATAACATGGTGAACATAATTAGTGTCACTGAATTGAACACATACAAATGGTTGAAATCTTGGACTCGAGCAGACATGGCTCTAGAAGCATGTTTGCCCTTTTTCTCGCTTTTGCTTATTCTGTAATATTTCCTCGGACTTGGGAAGACATGGCTCTGGCAACATGCTTATCCATTTTCCCACTTCTGCCTATTCTGTAATATTCCTTGAACTCAGGCAGACATAGCTCTGGCAGCATGCTTGTCTGCTTCCTACTTTTGCCTCTTTGCATATATGACGAATAAAACCTTTCTTTTTGCTTTACTAAATTTTGTGATGTTTTTACCCTAGAACAGTTAACCACGACAAGTGGTGTGCAGTCAAGTTGGGTCACAGGAAGATAGCTGAGCAAATAGGGCCTTGAATGCTGCACTAAAGAGGGTGAATTGACAAATGTCAGCACTATGGAAAGCCCTGGGAGCCCCCAAAAACTGAAGACTCCTGATCAAATCTGTTGAACCCCAACAACCTCTTCTACACATTTCCTTCCTGGACACCAGTTGACATTCAGGCCCTGCCCAGCACCTACCTGGAGAGGAGCTGGCATGCCTACTGGGGCTGGAGACAAAGCCAGGCTCACCATAAAGAACTTTCTAACACTCTCAAATACACAAGGACAGAGCAGGCTGCCCTTGGAGGGACTGAGCTCCCTGTCCCTGGAAGTATGCAAGCTCAAGTTGAAGACACTGCTGAGGCACTCTGAAAACAAGCATAAGATCCCTAGGATTCTGACTCTGCGCATATCTGCATAAATTTATGTTTCTCTTTTTGCCTACTACTATAAAGAAAAATACAAATTTAATTCTCCCCAGTTGAGAGTAAGGGAAGAGGCTCCCCTCCCTCCCAGTGCTTTCTAAATTCACTTTGGGTAACTTGTAATTGTAAATTCTTTGTCTCTTTGAAAAGTATGTAAATTTAAGAGGTCTCCTCAAAGATCTGGCAGCTAGCTCTTTGAAATGTAACTTCAGGTGATCCTCCCCTACCTTCCTGTATCCTGGAAGGAGATAAACTCAGGTGACCCAGCCCTATCTCTGGCCACATAGATTAGAAAATTAACAATTATCTTGAAAACATGAAGAAAAAAAAACATGGTGGAAATGGCAAATGTTTTGTTATATATATTTCACCACAACAAAATTTAAAGCAAAACGACAACAACAAACACCATGACAGGCTGAGAGAGACAGACTGCAGGATAAAAAATTTCTAAAGTCTAAGAAAAGCAATGATTCATTTACAAAGAAAGAAAATGAGAAGTGTGTTAAATGGGAAAACAGGACGGTAGCTGTCATTTCTAACCACAGAAGAATGACTGAACACAGGCCAGTTTACAACCTACTACCACTACCAGGTCACTCTTTGCTCATCAAGGTCCCCAATCAGCTTAGGGACAGATGAAGCAAGAACAATTCACAACAATTCATGCCCTTGTGGCCCAGGGTGTCACAACTAACAGAAATCGGCAGACTACCCTCAATTTCATTTTATCTTATGGTTTCAATTTCTCTCCAATGACAACTTCGCTAGCACCTGTAACGGACAGCCATGTGAGTGCATGAGTTTCATCTCTTCAGTCTTTCTTTCAAAATGCACTTAATATTCATGAATACTAATAATGCTAGATAAATACTCACAATCTAGTGAGTATTAGGACCTAATACTCTGGCGGAGGGATTGGAGAATCATAAAGAATCTAAAAGCATTCAATCTTGTTCCGGATAACTCAAATATCTAATACCAGTTTTCTTAAGTCCTTGGCTCAACCGACAGGCCATCATTTGTCTTTATAGACTATATCCAAGAGAGATAAACCAGCTCAGTAAATGATATCCTCTCTTCCTAATAACTTGATGCTAATCTCATTCTCAGTTCTGTAAGACTCTAGGTTCACAGAACATACTCTTGAAGCGTTCTCAAAGACAAGAGAAGCATCTTTGATGAAACCCCCACTCTAACGGTCTACCCATAAATAGGTCAGGCCAGAGGTCAGGACCATAAAGATCTCTTCCTTTTCCCACAGTAGTTGATCTGATATGCTAAACCTACCTGCCCATGCCCTCTTCTCTGGGAATGGTTTCCACTCCCCTGCAAAAGAGGTAAGTCTATTCCATGCAGGCACAGCCTCCCCTAGAGGGAACATTTATTATTACTCAAGCCGGGCAAATCAGGTTTCCTCCTGGGACTATGTAACTGCAACACGGAAAGCCTGAGTCAGAAGGATATCGTGA